ACAGTGTAAATGCAGACTTACAGAGGCCAAAATGCACACTAGTACATTACTTATGATAAATACAAATAGGTTAATCACAAAATAGATAACATAATGCTCAAATGATAGACAAATAAAAACACAAAAATCAACTTGAAGTCTATCAATGAAAAAATAAAAATGAAGAAGAAGAAAATTCAAAGTAAGATGAACAAAAAGGTTACGCAAAAAAGAAGAGAGAAAAAAAAAAAGGAAGAAAGAAAGAGAGAGTAAAACAACAAGAGAATCCAAATTTACCATAAATAAATTGAACTTTTAAAATTATGTACAACATTCAAAATACGCTCCAAATTAAATTACCTAAGCACCATTTGTAAATAAAAAAGTAACTAAATTTAAAAATTTTAAAAATCTCAGCCACAAACAAATCAAAGATGAAATTATATATATAATAACAATATCATTTTATAATAGAGTAATATATGCTAAAGTTTCTCTATCTCATCGTATTCTCAATCACTCCCTTAAATTGAAGGATAAGAGTGAAAGTATATGCTCTATTGGCTTTGTGGAGGAGGAAGAAAGATTGAAGAAGTCGAGGTGGCAAATTTAATGGAAATGAGATTTGCAGCATTAGGGTTTTTAATATTGGATTGGTTCAAATAGGTGATTAGTGTGGTTGTGTTTGGTTGGTGACTTTTGCACAATACTATATTATCATATTTGATAGGGAGTATTTATTATTATGTTTGTTTATTTCCTTTTATTATCTTACTATTGTATTCGAATCTTTACAGTAATCATAAAACTCATTAATTTTTTTTTTCATATTTTTGAATAATGGAATCAAAAATGAAAAAGAAAATATGAAAAGAGATTTATTTTTTTTAAGTGACATTGTCTGTGTGTATATGCATGTATTATATATATTTTTTATATATTTATTTTTTGTAAAATTTTAATTAATTAATTAATTTTGATTCTAATTAATATTTAATACCAAATAAAGAGAACTCTTTCACTTAACTTATTACAATTACCAATTATTTGATTCCAATTACATTTTTCATTCTAATGTTTGAACCAAATGCACCCTGTATTTATTTTAATTCTTTGTTTTTCATTTCTTTAATACATAAATACTTTTTTTTACATACCGTGTCTAATCTCCTCACCATTGTGAGAGTAACAGAATTGGTTCATATGTTGTGCACCACAATTTTGGTTACGTTGCTTGCATAGAAGGAAAAAAAGTCTGACCCAAAACTCTTTAATATGGCGCACCCTATATATATATATGTATGTGTGTGTGTGTGTTTGTGTTTAAAAATTTTGTTCATGTAGTTTTCTATGTTTTTAAATGAAGTTTTTTTTTTCTTCAATAAATGTACCTTATTATTATTTTTGAACGACGAGGGAATCTCATAGCCACTATTCGAGTACGTGTGTGTAAACCTACTCTTGTGTAATAGCCTGCAAACCACACAAGAAAGATAAGTTAGTTACACTAGGAAGACCATGTGCAATGGGCTCGATCGAGAATATAGGTACATGTATTGAACTTGTAATATGTAGATATGAGAATTATGCTTCCACTCACTCGAGTAGTCCTTTTGTGCTAAATATACCTTATTTGTTCATTAGGTTGTTGGGTTAATATGTAGTCAGTAATTTTTATTTTTCAATTGCTTATAAGGCTAGCATATATATATAATTGAAAAGTAACCATCAGCTCAAGTGTTTTAAAGACGGAATAATTCTCCACTATCGTAATCACATATTCACATGGTCATATAAAGTTGAGATAATAAAAATTAAAGTGGAATTTAACGTCACATCTGAAAAAGAAAAAAAATAATAATTTAGCTGTAATAATTAAGAAAGCCCACCGAATTTGACAAAGTTGGACAACATATATATTTAATAACGTGGTAATGGATTAGGTTAACGGCCGTGGCTTCTCGGATATGAATTATGTTGCGCCTTTAGCGGCCAAGCTGATCGTTTCTTGATGAAATGATAAGAGAGAGAGACCTTTAATTTTTAGTTTAAATTATGGTTAAGAGTTTTTGAATATAATAATATTGATAGTATAGTTAAAGATTTTGAGATCGAGTGGTATAATTGTATTAGTGACTCTTTGTGTTTTAATAGGTTTAAAAAGTATATATCTTGTTAAAAGTAAATTAAAATAATCTTGACATGACGTTCTTTAGTTGATCAAGATGAGTAATAAATTAAATTATATGAATATCTTGTAGAGAGTTAGATGGGAGTTGTTTGTTCGAGTTTGACCTCACAACTCGAGAAAGGTTGGGTAAATCCTCTATAAGTTTTAATTAGGCTTAAGGAATTTAGTCTCATTAATTTAAGTGTACTATAATTAGATGTCATTTTGAGATATTATAATTTTGACATATAATTATCACATCAAAATATAATTAATTTAAGATTAAATTATTGGTAAATCTCATTTCATTATAGTTCATTGTTATCTCACTTTATTCGTTTGGTTTAATTACTAGGTTTAACTGAAATTATTTACATTTTAATTTTTTTAATAATATTTAATTTAGTGATAGTGCATAAATGTTACATATTAAGAAGACACTGCTGGAAATCAGCAGATTTCCGACCACCTGAAAGTGGTCGGAAATGGCCTTAATTAGGTCGGAAACGCTTGTTCCGAGCGTTTCCGACCTCTTTTCCCACCAAATTGGGTATCCGGAAAAATCCCCCTCGCTATATCCGACTACCGGAGAAGTGCTCGTAAATAACGACCACTTTTCTAAGACCGTCGGAAAAAATGACCAAGAGGATAGTCGGGCGGGTCCAGATTTTCCGACCACCGGCGGTCGGAAATTTCGACCACTATGGTGGTCGGAAATTTCGACCACTATGGTGGTCGAAAAACTGGACGTAGTCAATAAAAAAAATTCATTTCACTACAGGTTCCCTCTGTAGTGAAATGAATATATATATATATATATATATATATATATATATATATATATATATATATATATATATATATATATATATATATATATATATATTGTGGCAAGTTGGTAAGATATTTGCTGAAAAACATAGACATTTCATACACTTGAAAAGAATCCATTCATGAATATACAGTTGAAAATTTAACACAAGCATTGTTGAGGTGTAGAAGGGTTTTTCATCCGCTGCAAATTACACAAATACAAATGAAATTTTGGTCATGCAGACAGAGACCTCAGAAAAATACTGGAGAAGCATCATCTAAACACTGTTCTTCACTTCTTATAAAGAATATCTAATAGCATCATCAGTTAACACGTTGGACATACTGATATAAGGGCAACAATAGCTTTCCCAGCAGCATCAGTAGATGTATCACCTTCAACCTGCAGAAGACATCGCCTGAAATCCCTACACCTGCACATCAATAGAAGCTCAATAAATACATAGATCATAGCAATGGAATATAATAAGCATTGATAAGAACAAGTATTATTATGGAAAACAAGTGACCAATAATTACTTGTTCAAAAACTCAAGACCACTAGCAGTCCTGGACTCTAAACCCAGCAATTCAATTAGTCCTTCCCATTACTACAAGAAAAGTTGAAGAACATGGCAGTTAGATGCAGTCAAAGAAAGATATGAACTTGCAATAGATAGGCGTTATATACAAAGACATCAAATTTTCTTCATTATCAAAGTTAACTTTGCTTGGAGATGTATAAGCACAAAAATATTAAATTACACTATAACTACCTTGAAACCTTCATCAGAGATAGACTTTCCAACAAAATCAAATAATTGCTTCACAATTCTGTTTAAACGAACTTTATCACGAGCTTGCTGAACCTGAAGCCAGAAAACTACAGAGCCTTTCTTTCCATGTTTCCCGTGGTGGACTCCATCAATCTGTGTTGTGGGATAACACATTTCAATTATGAAATTAAACTATTAAAGCACATACACAAGTTTAGTTAGTATTTGCAAGTATGTAATAAATTTAAGGTAAATATCTAAAAACTGATCAACAAACTCAGACATCACTAATCAATTTGACCATGACATACCCTCATAATGTTTGAAGAGACAGTGTTAAGTTCGTACAGACGATAGATGTCCATGCTCTGCAATAGAAGACAACTCAAATTATATATCTTTCAAAGACATGCACACTCCAGTACAAAATTCATCTATCTCTAAATTATGTTTTTCTTATTGGGGATAGGGCTAAACCTGTATGCAAAAGAGGTGTGAGAAAAGAAAGAACTCAATGTTGGACCTTCAGTAGAACTTGGTGCTGTTGTACAATAGATTTTCCAACAAGCTGATTCCAAGCTTCATACGTGATGTCAGATAAATTGGTGCAATCTGTAATTATGTCAAGGTATTTAGGAAAAGACACAGTACTGTCAATAACATAACCAAAAGCTTTAAAACAGTTAGAGAAAATGCGTTAGTTGATAGAGAAAATAAGTGATGAACAATACTTATATAGGGGGAAAAACATATTACAAAATTTTGGAAGTGGATTATGAGTCTAACTGTCTAGTGCATATATCATGACTATCAAGATAATTGAGATGCATCATAGGTCCAACAATATTACATGACACCACAAATAGCAAGTTCTTTAGTCCTCAGAGACAAGAAAATATAGTCCTCAGAGCCTTGTGTGCATATTCCACATAATTTTCATGGAAAAGCTTAAAGTATATGAAATTTAAATTTCTCTTCTTCCTTAGGCTATGAAAATTATGAATCTAGGCTCGGTATCAAGTCCTTTAATATGTAATTGCAAAAAAATAGAAAAACAACAAAATGGAGCAGAAATCAGAGGGAGTATTATATATTTCTTAATATCTAAACCTACAAATCCATCTATATTTACTCAGAAATGTCAAAGCAAAAAAGCAGGAAAAAAAAAAGGAAAATGTAGTTAAAATAAGATTTCTAAGCCTTAAACCCTAAACAGAGACTAAATTTAGTAGACTTAATATATAGCATTAAAATGCAATTACCTTTTGGTTGAGGATGCGAATACTCCGTAACTTTAGCTTGAAATGACTCCGTTGATGACTCGGTTGAGGTGCGAATCAGTTGAGGATGGAGACTCCATAACTTTAGCTTGAGGTGCGACTCAGTTGAGGATGGCGATGATACTCCTCAACCTGGAAAAAACCAGCTATATATATCAGCAAACCGATATTCATTCGAGTTTTCACTTTCCTTTTATCTCTCCAATTCTCATAGGAGACAAATATATAAGATTTAAACATTTTACCTACTCAGGAGGGATACAACATTGTCCATCAGGTTTTGCAGTTTGGGTAGCAAGACGGGCCATAAGCATATTTCCAGCAATACCGGCACTTGCAGTGCATCCTGTTATCTCAACAATTTCCTTCCTGATCAGTCTGACAAATGCTTGAATGTCATCCACCCCTGAGTCAGTGGCGTCTAAAAATGCTTCATCACAACTGACGGCCTGCTTTCAGTAACAAGCCAATTGAAGAGTTATATAAGTATAATATAATGTGTGCTCTGAAGAGAACGATATACATGGACAGACCTGCACTTTCTTGCAGTGCTTATGCAAAATGTCATAAAACTTGTCAGCCACCTGTAAATCAAAAATTGTGTGTCAAACTATCCACGTGACTGAAAGTTGTAAAGGCACATGAGAAAGCATGACTGAAGAATTTCCATTTTTACTCAACCAATCTCACAATACCTCCTCATAAGCTTCAAAGTCATAAGAAAGAATGACAAGTTTAGGACAAAGAACCTTAGCATCTCTTACAAACATTCCAGCCTTAACTCCTGTGAAGAAGAATTCCATGTCAAACTGAAACTTTTTACAAAAATAGAAATGTTAGCATATTCGCTGCAAAGTAATTGCTGGATTCAAAACCAACCATAATTCCCCCTTATCAATCTCATCAACCAGAACCCCTTACTCTAGAAGAATTACCACTCTCACTGACGCTGCCTTCCATCAATGGTGTCTCACCTTTAGATATTACCTGGTCAGTTGAGCACTTTTCTAGAATAGCAGGTGTGGAATTTTTGAAGTAAAGAAGGCAGGCAACTTTGGTTGATTACTAGCTTCGCTTGCAACCTATTCCAGCTGATAAGGAACCCCTGTAAATGACCAATTAAGGAATTAGTCATCAAAAGAGTAAAAGTTCCCTCTTTGTCTTCTATAAATTCAATTTCACCATAGATGTCAAAAACACATCCATTATTAAGTGTTTGATCATTATAGCATTTCAGAGTAACATGGTTAATAATGAAGAATTTAAAAGTGAGAGCATAATGTCTAGTATATACCATGCATTCAATGATTCAATTATATTTCTGGAAAATAGGTAAGGGCATCCATTCTAATAACCAAAAAAAAAAAAAAAAAAAAAAGATGTGGGAACTTCAAAATTGATTTAGATTTTCTTTTTTTTAATGAAAAGCAGGAAAACACTAAATTGCACACATGATTCAGGCAACTCTCAACCAAAAAATCAAACCTTTCAAAATTAAAAACTAAGTAACTTTTCTGAATGGTTTCAAACTAAAACAGATATATATATATATATATATATATATATATATATATATATATATATATATATATATAATAAGAATAAGAGAACGAAGAAGTGACTGTATGCGAGAGCAAATTTAAGCATATTATTTGGGTTACATGGTAAACCCCATAACAGAGCACCAGCTCATTGCAAAAAAACAAGCACCACAATGAGAAAATGTGCAGAGTACAAGGAAAAGACAAAGCATGAAGACCGCCACATGCACAAATTACCAGAGTTGATCTCAGGTGAAATCCAACACGCATGACATTTTAAAAGTACTGAGCTTCACACAACACACCAAATACCTAAATGATATTCAGACCAAAATAGTCATTACACAACACCTCATTAATTATTATAGAAAGAGATAGAGAGAGCAAGGGGTGAAGGGAGGAAACAAGGGAAGCAATAAACTAACATGTTGAGTGTAATATAATGAAATTATAGGAATAGTATAAACAAGTAAAAGTAAACTAGATAAATGAAAGAAATATATTTTGGAAATGATGAAATATTTGTTTGCCGCTTCAACTAAAAGCTTAAGCTATTAGAGAGGGGAGACATTTAATAGTTTATTTTTTATTCTTAACAGGCCCTCATGAGCTGGCCACATTCTTTTAGGTGGGCAAAGCGTGTGGAAATATTTTATAACAGCCAGTGAATGAAATTCAAACTCAAGACCTCTGCCTTCTCCAATAAACTTATCTACTCCACCACAACTAAAAGCATAACATATTAAAAAGGGAAACAATCATCTTTGCACCTTCTCTTTGAATGAAAAATTGCAAATGCATAGATATAGCCAATCCATGCCGGATCTCCTTCTTGCATTGACTGTAATATGTGGAAAGAAACAACTATGAGATGATATAGTTAAAGCAAAAGTCTACAGAACAGAAAGGGAGATTTAGGAAAAGGAGTTAATAGACATGCTTTAATCACAAAAGCTTACTGCACAAAATCCTGATGGTTTCAAAAGTTAATACAATAGAACCAGTGTGTACCATGTTGCCGGGATGGCCCTAGTGCACAATCCAATCAGGAAGGTTCCATGATTTAACGAGCTCAACGAACGGTCCAAACACAGACCTCACAGCTCCAACTGAATTCAAATCATCAGTTTCATTGTGTGGAATCACACAAGTGCCCTGTAATGATACCAACAAGAGAAAAAGTTCTATAATAATAATGATACCAACATGGAAAACATTTAACTATCCTTGCTTGTTTACTAAAAATGAGAAGCAGAAAAGGTATTTCATTTCAAGCAAACTCTCATATTTTCTTTCTCTTCTAGTCTTGGTAGAGACCAAGGGACCATCCAATAGAACTCACCCCAATAACAACAAAGCATTGATGAATTACTAAAACTGACCTTACAAACTTCTCTTGCCGGTTGATTCATATGAAAGAAATTCTTCACATAAACACCTTGCACTGGAGCAAGAAATAGGCAACTAAGATTTCGTGAAGATAGAAATAGAAGTCAACCTCTGTTCACAGAAAAAGAACCAACATAGCAGACTAGGTCTACATACATAACCAGGCATCCTTCCCAAAAATAAAATAAAAAATCCTCAAAAACATTTTTTGACAGAATCAGCAGCAACCAAGAGTATAATAGCACATTTACAGACCACAACTTTGATATGCAAATGACAAGGCTAGTAAGACTAGTAAAAAAAAAAAATTAACATTTGCATTTCTATTATATGGAGAGGAGCCAAATCAAGTGCAAATCATTCCTTAAGTATAAACTACAAACACATCTTAACTGTTAAAGTAAAATTCACTCCAGAAAAGTAAATACAAAAAATATGTATCTATCAATACAAGTTGAAAGTCATACATACTGTATACTGTTTTCTGGATTCTCAATCGTAGATAGCCTACCTGCCTGAATGCCTGATAGATCTAACAGAAGCCACTTTCCCCAATTTGAAGTGAAGGCCAAGCTCGAATCAGTTCCCGAACTTCGCTCTTTCATACCTCCTCCCTGACTATAGTAAAAATAAGTAAATAACAATACATTAGAAATAAAGAACCTTAAGTCCTTGAACTTTAACAATAGATGAGAAACTAACGAAGGCATAATAGCGGTTACCTTAGAAACGATCAATGCAGTGTGTTGTCTTTCATTGTATTCCTCATCCTCATACAAATTTTCTCGGCAGAACAATATGCCAATGAGTGTTTGAGACGGCGCAAATGAGCGAGGAAAACGTTTATATCACAGCTACGTCGTTGATCGAGGAGAAGAGCTAAGGAGGAGAAGGTTCGCAGCTGCGTAGTCGATTGAGGAGAAGGCGATCGAGGACTTCAACATCGTAGACGATCTAGGGCTTCAGCGGTGGATAGGTGTTGGTTCCCAGAACGTATAGAGAAATCTAAAAATCTAACTCTTGAAAATAAAGAAAAAATGATGGGTCATTTTCATATTTTAAAGGTTTCTAATATTTTAAATAAATGACCCGCTCCTTTTAAAAAAGATGCTAGGAAAAAAAAGTTATAATAATAATACATTTCCGACAACTTTTGAATGTGGTCGGAAATAATAAATAGATAATTTTTTAAAATTTAAACGGCAGAAAGAAATTTTCGATCATCTTTACTTTGTGGTCGGTTATTCTGACCACTAAGTAATGGTGGTCGAAAATTTCGACCTATTTCCGTCCACCATAATCCTTCAACGGAAAAGTGAAAAAAAATCACTTTTTCCGACCAATATTCTGGGTGGTCGGAAATGTGGTCAGAAAATGGAAAATTTCCAGCAGTGAGAGTTCGATTTATCAGTAAATAATAATTATGATTGGTAAAAATGATGATATTGATAAAAACAACCTAGATAGATGGATGTGAGTGAAGTTGTACTATACATATTTTTATTTGAGTAATAATTACTTCTTGATATATAGATTAATCACTAATTTTAAGAGGTAATACATTTTTTTTCTCTCAATAAATTAATATAATGCAAGTCACTTGACAAGAATGATGCTCTAAATAGTACTCAACATTTTCTATGTTAATGATGATAGGGAGTGTGCTGAAAAATAAGTCTAAAATGGACAAGGGACAAGGGAGTAAGTAAAAAGATGTAGATTACATTGAAAATGTGGAGAAATTTGGGTCTATACCAAATTGCAAATCCATCCACCTCTACTAGCTTTTTGAAGTGGGGGACAAAAACAGATACATCAAATTCATTTGTATTTTGACCCCTGCTGAATTTATTAATTATTAATTCATTGCTTGTGAAAGGCATGAAGTTTGTGGTATTTGACTAGTTGACCCCAAGCCTTTTCTTTATTTTATATTTTCTCTTATGCTTCTTCCAAAAGGTTGAATTCCCAACCCAAGGACCGGACAGAGCACAACTCAGCAAGTAGGGCCAAATGCCGGTGCGCACAAGGGATCTATTCATTTTGAGTATAATCCTTACACTGTCGTCGACGAGGTTCGAATCTTGATCTCTTCTCCCAAATACTGTCTACTGAACCATTAAATTAATAAGCCCATGCAAGCTATTTTCTCTTATGTTGTCATTATGTTAACATCACTTGAAGGATGTACTTATTTGACTTCTGTTCTTTTGGTTGGTTAAATATCATCATCTCAGCTGCCCTAATCCTCTAAACTTGATGTTCATTGTCCAAATTACATACATACAATATATATATATACATACAATATATATATATATATATATATATATATATATATGGTGAAGGTGAATAAAAGGTTATAAAATTTGGTGTAAAAGAATTTGATTATAGAGTTATCTTTTTGAAAGCAAAAAAATAAAAAATAAAAAATGTTATATATATATGTAGGTAGTGTTTGGGTTGGTGGGATATGGCGTATGCGGTGGATCGGAGAAGTATGGATTTGGAATTTGGCGAAAGACCGCACAACTGATGTGTTGCGCACTTCAATAATTGTTCTCTAAAGAGTAAAGCACATTTGTTCTCATCTCTATCTCACCATTCATTAACCACCATTCACTTCTACTTTCACTTCTTTTTATTATTATTATTTATTATCAATTTTTTTTCAACTTGAAAAAAAAATATTATTGACCAAAGAGTAGACCGGAATGTGTAACCAGACCGCCATTTACCTCATGAGGTTTTTTTTTTCCTTCCAATTTGAAATAATTGACTTGCACCCACAAGATAACATATGGTCATCCTAAATATTTAATGTGACTGGTTGTATTGGCGGGTTGAAATATTGTGCACAAAGAGAATCTGTCCATTTTGCAGCTTGTCGAGTTTCGAATCTTAGCTTGGTATTTTACTTCAAATATTGTCTATTGAATCAATGATTTATACTCGTGTATGGTAATTTTTTCTTAAGTCACCATGGAGGTAATCGCGAGACGCGCAATTATCATAGTTTTCATGTGTGCACAAGGAGTTCAATCCAAACCTTCCAGCATCCTTGAACCTTTTTCGTATACATGTTTCCAGTGAGATTCGAATCCTCATTATTGGCTCACACTGCCGCTTCCAGTCATGACTTTTAAGTCCAACGAACCAATTACGTACACT